GTTCACAAATAAAATAAAAAGCAAAGGCCCAAGAATAGATCCTTGCGGTACGCCTGAGCTGACATTTATAATATTAGATGAGAAACCATTAATAATAACCCGTTGAGATCTGTTTAAAACGTATGATGAAAACCATCTTAACAAGTTTCCTCGTATTCCATTGAACGCCAATTTCTTTAAAAGTATGTTGTGATCAACCTTGTCAAAAGCCTTAGCGTAATCAGTGTAAATTGCTTCCACTTGCAAACGGTTATCCATGCAGTGAAAAAGATAATTTGTGTAGAGAACAAGGTTAGTTGTTGTTGACCGATGTTTTACAAATCCATGTTGTTCAGGTATAATTATGCTATGTAATGTAGGATAAATTTGCTTATGTATTAGCCTCTCAAGAACCTTTGATATAGTTGATAACAAAGATATGGGGCGGTAGTTAGAAACGTCGTTTTTGCACCCACTCTTGTAGACTGGTGTTACATTGGCGTTCTTCCATATCTGGGGCATAGTCCCTTCACTAATACATTGGTTAAAGATAAGACACAAGGGAATACTAATAGCTGCAGCAGTGTGTTTGAGGAAAAATGGTGGAAGGCCGTCAGGTCCAGGTCCTTTCTTAATATCGAGTAACATGAGCTCTTTGACTAAACTATCCTCAGAAAAGGAGATATTTTAAATAATCTCAGAATTGGATTTAGTAGGCTGATTACTAAAATTCTCCTGCTGTAACTGCTGTCTATTTTCATATACTGAGCTGAAAAATTCAGAAAATAATTCACATATACCCTCAGGGCTATCCGATTTTTTATGTTTATAAATCATAACGTTAGGAATTCCATTTTTACCTCTGCGATTGTTAACATAGGACCAAAATGATTTGATGTCCTTTTGAAGTCCCTCTTCGATGGAATTAATGTAAGTATTGAAGCAATCAGCACACAGTGTCTTAAATCTGTGTCGAAGTAATGAAAAGTGGGAATAATCCGCTTTATTATTATATTTTTTCCATCGTATCCAATATTTTTCTTTATCTTTAAAAATATGGATTAGGGGTCGAGAAAACCAAACTGGAAAGTTACTGCTTTTTGACGAACGAAGCGGTACATGCATTCTTATAATTTCATAAATTTTTTCATAAAATATATTAACTGAAATTTCAGCAGTTAGCCCTTTTAAAAGAGAGTACCAGTTGATGTCAGAGATAGATTTACAAATGGTGGAATAGTTTGCTTCTAAATATTTGAACCTCGGAATAGACGAGTGAGTCATAGATTTATATGTGTGGCCTAGAGATATAACCGTATAAAATGCTGGATGTAGACGATCCAATGGCAGTAGCGGATTTGGAGGCAGCTCACAAACACAATTATCCTCGTTACATAAAAACAAGTCTAAAATACGGCCCAAAGGGTTTCTTATGGTGTTTAACTGTTTCAAGTTTAATGATGATATGAAGTTAAGCAGTGATTTGTCATTGTTGGTAAGGTGGGGGTAAGAAGATGTGGATGCTATATTTAATGCCGTTTGATCACTGCCCAGCCATTGTAGATTGGGAAGATTGAAATCACCAACTACGTAAACGTGCTGGTAGTTAATCTCCATAATTTTGTTACATAAGGATGTTAAAAAATTTTCATAAATTAATCCGTTCATATTAGGCGGAATGTAAATACCGCAAATAATAGTAGTCTCACCCCTTTGACTATTAAGACTGAGAAATACATAATCAATACAAGGTGAAATAGGATAGTCATGTGAACCTATTAGTTCGTACCGAGCAATGGGCAACCCTCGACGCACCGCAATTAAAACTCCACCGCCGTCCCGTTTACCTGTCAAGACTCGGTCCCGGTCGCAGCGATGTACTACATATCTATCATCTATAAATTCGCTGTCTAGAATATTCGGAAGCAACCACGTTTCACTTAATATAATAAAATCGTAACTGTCTGATAATATATTTGTATACAGAGTGTTTAGTTTGGTTCTTAAGCCCCTACAGTTTTGGTAATATATTGTAAAACGATCAGTCATCATCTTTGTTAATTTTTAATACATGCATATTACCTAAACCTATTAACAAGATAAAGAAACAAAAGTAAAAAAGTAGAAAAATTACAAGTATCATTAAAGTAACAGATATACTGGGACTAATGTATTCTATTCTTTTCCAATTTAACATGATAAAATATAGCTGATTGTGTATAATGATTATTAATATATAAAAATTTGCCCAGTTATTTCTAATCAAAGTGCTATGCAAATACATTACTTGTCATTTAACAATGTTTTTTACGCAGTGAAATTCTATTTCATAACTTTGTGTTTCATATGTTATGTTAATCCCAGTAAAAGAAGTATTCAGAATAAATAAGCGAGAATAATAAATACTGCTTAATAATATTAAAATATGTTCGACAAATAAAAATAATAAATTAATAACGCTTGGTGGGTATGTTAAACAGTGTGACTTGCAACTAAACTTCATACGCTTTACAATGTTCATATTATAATTATTAGTATTAATTTGACAACGAAGTATTTTTAAAGTAGAATATTGTTTGTAAAATATCGTAAATAAATCCTTTGTGTAGCAAACAAAATGCCGGTAAATAAAAAATAATTCAATATACACGGCGAAGAAGTGTAACCAACACAGAGCAATGAAATGTTTAGAGATGACATTAATTAATATAATGCTTTTTGATAAATACCTTTGAATAACCTCTTCGAGACAACAAGTCAATGCAGATGGAAATAAAATGCTAGTTTCAGCTATGTACGAGTAGCAGTAAAAATTAATTAACTGGACCATTCTTTGATTTGATTTTTGATAGATCTTCGCCAGAACGAATGCTGATAACAGGAGAAGTATCGTTTGCACGCACCAAGATGCTGCCGTGCTTAATCCAGGTGTATCTGAAACCATTCTTCTTAGCAGCTTCCCGAACCTCACGAAATAAAATTTTTCTCTTCAGAGTTAGGTGCTCATTAAAGTATAACTTGTGTATAGTTCCGGGCATTTGCAGTTTTTCTGTTGTTAAACCTTTCTCTTTGCGAGCTGCTGAAAGAAAGTTATCACGTAACATCCGATTCGCAAACTTAACAATGATATTCTTAGGTCGCCCACTTTTGGGATTAAGGTGTGGTACACGATGAATAGCGACAACGTCGTATTTATTAATTGGTTGTTTGATGACATCAGCTATATTTTCTATAATCGAAATTAAATTTTCATTTCGTTTTTCTGGAAGGTTAACAATTTCAATATTGCACTGGCGTGAGTTAAGCTCTAAAATATCAAGCTTGTTTCCTACCTCCATAATCAGATCGTCCTTGTTTTGGGATGATTTATATGTTTTTTCTATTTCAAATAATCGACTGCGGATCTCTTCAGTTTGGTTTTTTAGGTCGTCATATTTGTCATTAATAAATTGGATTGAAGTCTTCAAGTCTTCAAAATCTTCAATGAACTTGGTTATTTTATTATTTTATTTGTCGAAGAACTCCTTCATTGATGCCATTATCTTCTCATGGAAAGAATGAAATTCACTACGTAGATCCAACACATTTTGATCAGCTACACCTTTACGGAGCGTCACGTAGTCAGGCGAAGATCCTTTTTCTTTCAGAGCAGTGTCCACACTCATTTCACCATGAGATTTATTAGAAAATCGGGTAGCGCTGTTTTGTTTGGTGCGAGTGTTATTGAGAGACATGACAATAAGTAATAGTAATTGTTATCTGTGTATATTTATTGCTCTGTGCAATAAGTAGCCGTGTGCCAACACTATTCGTATGTACACGATGAGTCACTAGGCGATCGGAGCAAACACGAATGCACTGACTGACACACTTATTTAATCGCAATAATAAGCGCGTATTATTTATCGTGCCTAAGGGCTTAATATAATTTCATATATATTAAGCCCTTAGGCACGATAAATAATAAACAGGGCATATTACCGTGACGCGGCCGCGGAGCGAATGAGGCTACGCGCGCCGCGCCACGACGTTTTATATTTATAGTGCTGAGGCGAGGGGCAGGGTCCTCAGCTAAAAATTGCGGAAATAATAACGTTTTAACCTGTACTATGTAGAAAAATTATTATATAAGTATTAGTTAAATAAGCAATTGTAAAAATGTAATATATTTAAGTCTGTACAGTAGTTTATAAGAAATTTACCAAATAAAGAAAGGCGCGGGGGTGAGGCAAGGGTCCGCTGGCCAGCAATGGCCGAATCGTATATGGCAGCCCGTACACACTCAATCTCGATTGCAATCACACAGTTCTGATCGCGATCACGGATCACCGGATTGCGCCACGACATTACACGTTCAATCTTGATTTCTTCAGTCCGTTTATCGTTACCGCCGCGTTACCAACGCCTGTTGTCTTTTCATATTAACAATTACTCTGTGGTCATGGATTTACATGAGGTTAAAGCTGTAATATCACTTGTTTTGGCCCTTACTTTGAAGAAAAGGATTCGAAAAAGGCAGTGGGTTAAACAGTGGCTACTTAAGAGAGAAAGGTACACTTACTTAAATCTACTTAAAGAAATTCAACTAGCTGCAGAAACTGACGATTATAAAAACTACTTCAGGATGGGGGAAAAATGTTTCGATGAGTTACTACAAATGATAACTCCATATATAACCAAACGAGATACCTGTATGAGAAAAAGTATTACACCTGAAGAAAAACTTGCAGTAACATTACGTTATCTTGCTACTGGCAGAAATATTGAAGATCTAAAATTTTCAGCTATAATATCTCCTGCTGCTATTAGTGAAGCAATCAAGATTACATGCCGAGCTCTTATTTATGTACTCAGGGACTATATGAAAGTAAGTAAACGTATTTTATTTATTTTGTAAGTTTATTTAGCATAAGTACAAATTCAAGACATTGAAATATAAGGTAAATAATATAATAAACAGCGAATTACAATAATAATAACTAGAAAATCAACTTAATTATTTTAAAGTAGGTTGCAATTATTTAATCATTCGGATTATATCTTGCAAACAATGACCCCACTGTATAATCTTCAATATCTGATTGGGTATCTGGAATATGTAAAGTAGGGACATCCGTATTTTGGTGTATTATTATTTGTGATGCAAAACCTTTTCGGTAAGTAGAAGCACCGGGATGTGAATTTATTCCAAGTTTTAACTGAGAGGACATTGGTTGAGGCACAATGGTCAAAGAATGTGTTGGAGTAGAAGTAGTCGACGACGAATGATGTGTGCGTGAGACAGTAGCTTCAGCAAATACTTGTGACTGTTCAAATGTGGATGTGTGTGGAACATCTACTGTCGAGGACTGCAATGAAGAGTGTGTAGGAGAAGTAACTGAAGAGTAGTGCAAGTCTGAGGGAGAAGGTGGGTTTTCCGGCGAAGAGTAGTGTGGTATTGGAGAGTTATGTAAATGCAAAGGAGAGGCGTTGTATGAATATGGTGACATCGCATTCCTATGAGTAGGTTCGTTGATTTTCACAGAAAATCGGTGAAGGTTTCCCAACCCCGCCTCAAATAAAATATCATGAATTGCTTTCTCTGCAAAGAATCGTTGTTGAGGTTGTAATTTATCGATCTTTTCTGCCCACACCAATGCTAGGGAATTAGTCGTGGTAGTTGATTCCAGAGACGTTTTTTGTGACAAAAATATGTTTGCTCGATCTAGCAGCTCATTTTGCTTAGTCAGCAATGTCTTTGGTTTTTGCTTGTGTTTAGGCGGATGAACAATTTCTGCGATTGAAGAAAATTTTCCCGGTGATGGATTTTCTGTTATAGTTTCTTGACCGCTTTCGTGTCTCGCAGAAATTTCTCCAGAATTTTCATCCTGAAATATAATTAAAGTACATTGTTTACCCAACTAGTTCTCAAGTTTGCTATTTGGAATTGTTTATAATTGTTGCTTTATGTTTTAGATGCCGACACAAGCTGAAGAATGGAAAATAATTTTGGAACAATACACCAATTTTGGAATTGTTGTGGTGCATTGGACGGGAAACATGTTGGCATACAGAAACCAGCTGCATCAGGATCTATGTATTATAATTATAAAGGGTTTTATAGCATAGTACTTATGGCACTTGTAAGTGCAAAAAAAGAATTTATAATGATTGATGTAGGAACTAATGGTCGGGTATCTGATGGTGGTGTTTTATTCTATACCAAATTTTGGGAGATGTATCAACAGAACACTCTCAAATTACCAGAACCATCGGCACTACCAAATACAAGACAGACATTTCCATATGTTTTTATATCTGACGAAGCATTTGAATTGGGTCCCAATTTAATGAAGCCCTACGCTCAAAATGTATTGAACGAAAATAGACACATCTTTAATTACCGTCTTTCACGAGCACGTTCAGTAGTTGAATGTGCTTTCGGAATACTGAATTCAAAGTTTGGTATTTTTCAAAAAGATTTACCTTTTGAACCCGATACTGCTTCATTGATAGTAGCAACATGTTGCTACTTACATAATTATTTAAGGAAAAATGCAAACTCTTACAGTTTTTCAAATGAAAATGGAAATAATATAAATAGATTAGAAGACCTGCAAAGAACACACAATCGTAACCCAAACTGTGAAGCAAAAGCTATAAGAGAAAATTTTTGTAGTTACTTTTGTAATGAAGGTAGAATATAACCTGCACACGTTAGGGTTGCCAACCCCAAATTTAAAAAGCTAGGATTTGAAGTTGAAAAAACCAGGACATTTTAGTTTAAAAACAGGACGCAGTAAATGCCTTGTCAAACATAACTGCGAACCAAACCAAACCGAAAACGTAGCGAATGTATGTACTATGTATGCAAGTACCGGTTCGTTTTCGTTTTCGCTTCGCCACGCTATCGGTTCGCTGTCTATCTCGTCAAATAGTTTTACGTCGTTAATTTCAACGCCGTGATCTTAAAAATACATGATCTTATCAAGGCGCTTTAAAAACCCAAGACACTGCTTAAAACAATCCAGGACATCCCAGGACACTACAAAAACTAGGATATGTCCTGGGAATACAGGACGCGTTGGCAACCCTAGCGTACGTACTTATAGCGGTACATCAAAATATTAACTAATTACAAATGTATCTACCGTATAGACAATAGATGCAATATAGTGACATTATTATTTATTTAGTTTTATTTCACCCTGGCAAAAATGCTAAATTAAGAATAATTTAAAATTAAAAATTTTGTACAGTCGACTTTAATATAAGTTATTAAGAATAACTCAAAAACTATTGGTCTGACCTTGATCAAAATCATATGGGACCACACGAGATGTACCAGCTTTTAAATAAAGAAAGAATCATCGAAATCGGTTCACCCAGTACAAAGTTATGAGGTAACACACATATAAAAAAAACATACAGTAGAATTGAGTACCGTCTCCTTTTTGGAAGTCGGCAGAAAAATACAAAAAGAAACCGACTCCCTCCATTCCACATCGACCCCTACCATGCCCCCACCATCAGTACTGAATTAAATTTTTATAAAAATGGGACCAATCTGGAAGTATATTCTTTCAAATATTTTTTTTTATCTTATCGGTTTATAAATGACGGAGTTATTAGGTAACAAATATTAAAAAAAGAGTACAGCCGAATTGAGAACCTCCTTCTTTTCGGTTAAAAAGTTATAAACCAAAATTATCACCTGTTGAATGTAATTTGGTGTCTCGGTAGTGTATAAAAAACCTAGCTGTTTGAATGTTTTTGTTCTTGGTGTGTACAAGTCGTCAACACCGGCTCCAGATCTTTTTGATAAAGCTATTTTCTTTAGTTCTCGTCTAAAGTTGGACCTGAGACTATTTATTTTTTTACGGACATCTTCAACAGTCGCTTGTGGCTTGATTTTCTTGTAAACGTCGAGCAACTTTTCGTATCTAGCTTGTCGCTTGTATTTGTTTGTATAATATTTATGCCGGGGATTCCACAGTTCTGGTAAAGTTTCTAAAAGAATTATAAAATCTTCTTCCAATTGAAATAAAGTAGGTGCATTCGCTGATTCAATCGGCGGTGACGGGGAGCACGTGTGATCGTCACCCATTTTTATTGAAGCGCACAGCGAGACTGATGCGATCCTGCGCTTACACGTTCAATCTTGATCACGATCAGCGGATTGCGATCTTGATTTCAAAATATCTAGATATTTTGTGATCAAATGCATCAATCCATCAATCTTATTCGTACACTATCAATCTGGATCGCGATCATTGATTTTGATCACCGATCGCGATCGAGATTGAGTGTGTACGGGCTGCCCATAAGACGGGCCGGTCGGAACGGTCGGCAGTCGCTCTCCAGCTACAGTAAAGAAAACAACAGCAAGAAAAGTAAAAGTTCCTCCTCACCGCCGCTTGCCTCCAGTAGTAAGCAAGACCAACGTGTTTCACTCATTTTTCGAACGGCGTTACGGCGATCCGTAACATTAATGGTCCTTCGAGAAGCCGGATTACTAGAAGAAAAAGACAATATCGGTCTTGGTATTGCCGGAAGAAAGAAGCAAACCGCAAGAACGAAAAAATATTATTGTGAAGAAAAATGGTGATTACATGCAGTAACAACGGAGAATCATCGAAGCGTCGCAAGGATGAACAGATAACCCAGGGGGCCACAGAAGAGGCCTCCGGGGGCGACTCAACCGCTAGTGGTACATCCAACACCACGAGCGAAACCACAACGGTCAGCGATACAACCGCTACCTCTGTGACCGATAACACGGCCGCAACGGAAGAAACCCAGCAAGAAAAGGACACATTAAAGCCCGACGAAGCTAGGTCGCGCCGCTCCGTAGCCTCACGCAAGAGACTCCTCGCGGAGTTAGAGGCGAAAGAGCGGTTAGCCGAACTCAAACTCGAGCAGGCTCAGTTGCAAGCAAGAATGGAATTGCAAGAAATACACGTGCAGCGATTACAAGCAGAAGTCGGATCAACCGATGACGAAGATGAAGAAATAGAAGACGATTTGGCATCAGTACGCATTAGTACATGGTTGCAAGAAAAACCTACATCGCAACCAGCGCCGCAGCCTGCGCCGCAACCCATGTCGCACTTCGCGTCGCAACCCGCTCCGCAGTCTACATCGCAACCCGCGTCGCAGCCCGCGCCGCAACCCGCGCCGCACTTCGCATCGCAACCCGCTCCGCAGTTTGCATCACAACCCGCGCCGCAGAAAGAAGACAATGGGCAGGCGCAGCAACAAATCGACGTCGCTACCTTAGCCGCTGCTCTATCATAAGCAGTACGAAGCACAAGGGAGCCGCCGAAATATGTGCAAGAGCTACCTACATTCAATGGTAGCAGCAAAGAATGGCTCAGCTTCAAAACAACGTACGAAGAATCTTCAAAGTACTTCACGATGAACGAAAACAGAGCGAGAATACGCCGAAGCTTAAAAGGGACAGCAAAAGAAGCCGCAGGTTTCCTACTTATAAGCCAACCAGATCCCAGCCTGATAATGGAAGCTTTGAAAGGAGATTCGGACGACCAGAAGCGTTAATTCACTTGGAAATAGAGAAGCTGAAGCTGCTGAATAAAGTTACGGACAATCCCAGGGAGCTATGCATATTCGCAAATCGCATAGCAAACGTAGTGGGCACCGTGGAAGCACTCAAGAAAGCACACTATCTGCATAGTCCGGAAATGACGCGACTTATCACAGACAAACTCACGCCCATATTGAGAAGCAAATGGTACGACTATGCAGCCAGAAAGAAAGAAGATATCCCAGAGCTTAAGAAAATATCAATGTTCTTAAACGATGAAGCGGACAAATGCAGCGCGTATGCCTTGCCGGAGTTCAGAGCAGAGGACAGCGAGACGAGAGAGCGAAGACCAAGAAAAATAGAACGTGCCTTCGCCACAAGCAAGAAACAATATGAAGAACGCTGCCCTCAATGCAAACAAGAACACAAACTGCCCGATTGCAAGTCATACGCCGCTCTGTCCACTAATGACAGATGGGAAGTAGCAAAGAAGAATAATATATAGACAGCTACCGCTGTCTGCGAGGAAAACATCGCCGGTTGCTGTGTAAAGCTCCACCGTGCGGAAAAGGCGGATGCATGATGAAACACCATAAATTGCTGCATCACGATAGAACAGCAGAGATTGAAAAGGAACCCGCTATGGAAACCGCAACATCGGCAAGGGAGGTCATCACAGCGACTCAACCGTACAAGCACCGCCGCGCTTATCTAAAGATTGCGCCCGTTACAATAAGGGGGCCGCTAAGCTGCGTCGAAACATACGCATTATTGGACGAAGGAAGCACGGTCACCTTAGTCGATGCCTCAACCGCTGACGTCATCGGCGCCGACGGCCCAGCCCACGCAATGTGGATACAAGGGGTCGGCTCGGAGGTGAAACATGAGAAGAGCAAGATCGTCAGCCTTAAAATAAGAGGAAAGTACGCGCAAGAAGAACACAACATAGAAGCAGCGCGTACGGTAGAACGGTTGGACTTCGCGCCAGAATCCGTGAATGAAAATCACTTAGAGAATTGCCAACATCTGTGGGATATCAAAGAAGATATCACCTACGAACGCGCCTCACCGAAAATACTAATCGGACAAGATAACTGGCACCTCATAGTGTCTAGAAAACTGCGCGTCGGTCGTCGAGACCAACCAGTCGCCTCACACACCAACCTGGGCTGGGTTCTGCATGGCTGTCATAGCTCATTGACGTCGACGGTCACCTTCTGCGGCAGACTACATCAGAGGGAAGATACACAGCCGATAGAAGAAGAAATAAAAAATGAGGTCGGCGGACGGCAGATTCGAAACAGGGTTGTTGTGGAAACAAAAGGATTTCCAAATACCAAATAATTACAAGGACGTGGAAAGGCGCCTGCACACCTTAGAGAAGAGGCTCGACCGAGACAGCAATCTCAAGCTACAGTACAAAGAACGCATACAGAACCTCTTCAACTCGGGTTACGCAGAGCGCGCGCCTATGCCACCACCGCAAGGAAGGACATGGTATCTGCCACACTTCCCAGTCATCAACCCTGCGAAACCAGACAAGCCGCCGAGATTGGTGCACGACGCCGCAGCGAAGACAGCCGGAATATGTCTCAACGATATGCTTCACTCGGGACCCGACTTGTTACAATCATTGCCCGGAGTAATCATGAGGTTCCGACAGTATCCGTATGCAGTGAGCGCCGACATAAAAGAGATGTTCATGCAGATCAAAGTGCGCAAAGAAGATAGAGACGTTTTACGTTTCTTATGGAGAGGCAAGCGGCGGGAGGACCAACCGGAAGAATATAGGATGACATCAATCATCTTTGGAGCGACATCATCACCGTGCACAGCATTATACATAAAAATGCTGAAGAACATGCGGAAGCATACCCAGAAGCTGCGGTCGCCATAAAAAGAAATCACTATATGGACGACTACTTGCAGAGCTTCCATTCTGTCACGGAAGCTCAGCAAACAGTAAAAGCAGTCGATCACGTCCACAAACAAGCGGGATTCATACTCAGCGGGTGGACATCGAACGAAGAGAAAACAATAGAAGAAATAACGACAGAACATAAACAACACGACGCGACCGTGAGCCTGGGCGGAAAAGAAACTGAGAAGACGCTCGGCCTGCTCTGGCATGTACAAAGCGATCATATTGGATTTAATACTCACAATATGAAAATGCCTGCCGACGTAAAAGAAAAACAACGCTTGCCAACTAAACGTGAAGTATTGAGCGTCATAATGGCTTTATTTGATCCGCTGAGATTAATATCACCAGTGACCACCCCAGCGAAGAGAATATTCCAAGACACATGGCGTTACAAGGCGGACTGGGACGACCCTCTGCCCACAGAATTAAAAGAAAAATGGGAAGACTGGATTACTTCACTTAACGCCATAGAACAACTGAGAATACCGTGATGCTACGATTACAACCCGGTGTAGACGCGCCAACTACACACATTCGTCGACGCAAGCGAGGAGGCCTACGCAGCAGCCGTGTATTGGAGAACGGAGCGAGCAGACGGCAGCGTTAACGTATCATTGGCCGCCGCCAAGAGCCGCGTAACACCACTGAAACCAGTCTCCATACCACGGCTCGAATTACAAGCAGCACTGCTGGGAGCTCGTCTCACGCAGACCGTGGTCGAGGAGCACGATGGCGATATAGCGGGCAAGACATACTGGTGCGACTCTCGTACTGCACTGGTATGGATAAGGTCGGAGCCTCGCGCATACAAAGCTTTCGTCGCTCATCGCCTGGCGGAGATAGAAGATACGACCAAGAAGAACGAATGGCGTTGGCTACCGTCAAAAGAAAATGTGGCAGACGACGCGACCCGATCCACGCCAGAAAGATTCGACGAGTCGCACCGGTGGTTCCGAGGGCCCCCGTTTCTGCAACGTCCACCAGCAGAATGGCCGCAGGAACAGAAAACGACACAATACGACACCGGGGAAGAACGAGAAGTATGTAACATCGCAGTTAAAAGGATAGACTCGTCAACAACACATCTGCCACAAATAGACAGATTTTCGAAATGGATTCGCCTCATAAGGGCGACAGCGAGAGTCCTCCTATTCATCGACATGTGCAGACCAAACAAGCACTTGGTGAAGGCTGGGCGTAAACGCAACCGAGCAAGACAAGATAGCGACCCTGGCTGGCAAAGAACAAACAAACGCAACACCCCAGCCAAGGAGAAAAAGGCAACTCCTACTGTCTCATCACTTGTAGGAATACCGGTCGCTTATCACATAAGAGCCGAACAACTGTGGGTGCAAGCCAGTCAGCGGGAAAGCTTCACGAAGGAGCTCAAGAGGATCGCCAACGGAAGTGTTCCGGGAGGTGACGACAAATTAGGCCACCTGAGCACATACATCGATGAAGAGGGGACCCTACGCCTCAGAGGTCGAATAAAAGCAGCATCAGAAGTAGAAGAGGACACGTACGACCCTCCCATACTAGACGGGAAGCACGCATACACTCGTCTGTACATAACCCATGTACACGAGAGGTTGCATCACGGAGGCGTGGAAACAGTCGTGAACGAATTAAGACAGAGACT